TTAAAATTGGCCCTTGCTGTTACTGAAAAAGTAGGGACTGCTCTAATGCAATTTTTCATTTGCTGAGTAAAGAGGAAGTGCATTCTTTATGAATGTAAAGTTCTTTTAAATAGGGTTCTTCTTTTTTATTGTACAATTGTTCTTTAGGCTAGAAAGCCATGCTTTGTTTTGAAATTGTCCATTATTTTTTTCAGTGAAGAGTGATGTACAGGCTTTCAGATATAAATTGATTCTTATCTACTGTTTTGTGTGAACTGGGGAGAATATGCCTTCAGTTGGCCACAGGCCATGAGTTAATAATTCAGAAGAAAATAAGGTCATTTCTGGACCTCTTATATATTCCTGGATGGAGGGTCAGCATGTCTGTATATGCTAGCGGTTTTCAAGTTTTCTAATGTCATGGAACCCCTATCCCTGGCTCCATGGATGATGTGAGCTGACATGGAGCCAGGTGACCCAGCCCCGCAATGATAAGAGATTACTTTTAATCTCTTTGCACAGCCTCTGATGACCTATCATGGAAACTCAGGTTTCTATGGAACACTTTGGAAAACACTGATATATGCAATTTTAGTGGTCCTCCTTCAGTTTCAATCTGAACACATACAGCATACCCTGCAACACAGTGTATTTGGAGCTTGTAGAGCTAGTCCAAAATTTCTGGAGGGAAAGAGAAAGGCCACTCAGTGCCAATACTTAAGAGTGAGAGGATGTCCCCTGTGGCACACGCAGCACCATGTACAAGAAAGAGTTCTGCATTCCTCTTCTAGAAACACATGCTAGGCCAGCATAAACTATATAGGAGCAGTGATGTAAGATGGTTTACTTCTTTTAAAATGGTGAATTCTGCTGGAAACATTGATATTTCTAACAATGGAATGAACCAGAAGTGTGACCCAAGTGTCACACAACCTATCTATAATCTCCAGTTTATGCAGACTTCACTGTATTCACAGAAACTTTGCTGATGCTTCCAAACAAGAGATTGCATTATCCGACTCACTGAATGTAAAACTGAAGGTATTGAATGATGATATATACCTTAGTCTTCTAAAAGCCACAGTAAACGATTGTTATACTTCTGTTTTTCTCTTCCACGTAGCACACTTTTTCCCTTTCAGTTGTTTTGGCTTCTTTTTGTCTTTGAGTCTGATGGGTTTGGGTAAGATTTTTTCTGAAGGTACATAAGTATCTAAAGGTACAAAAAGATTCTCAGGAGCATATAGGCATGTAAGTGTGTTTGAACCCTCTCCCACCTCCCCCCAAGATACTTACATGCCTTTAAAAAACTGGCCCTTTGTGTCCTAGAAAAATTGTTTTGCAGCAACAAAGTTTGATCAAATCAAGTTTGTTATTCAGGAAGCTCTCCTGCACCTCGTTCAAATGCATGAAGGGAAAAAGGTACTAGCTTGGACCTCTATTCTTCTGACTGCATCATCTGGATCATGCTGCTGCTTCACATTAAAAAAACCAGTTGATTTTTTTTTTCAGTAGGGTTACCAAGGCAAGTTGGGCCATTAAGCAAACTCTCACATTTTGCTAGGGAGTGTCCATAAATCAAGATTTGATTTGATTTATGTTTCTGTAAACAGACTTTAAATTTATAATCCTTTTTCAGGGAATTTGTTTACTAAGGAGTTTCTTCTTTAATGCAGCTCTCAGTTTACTATAACTTGAAAAAAGTATGCATTCTTAAAAGTATCCAGTAAATACTCTTTTGATTTAAGGCCTAAGCTTGACTTTAAGTCAACAAAACTATATTAATTTTCTCTTTCCAAAAAAAAAAAACCCACCCCAAAAACTTAAAATAGTATGTTGACAAAAGTGGGCTTTTATTCAATCCAGCTAAATCATCGTATTCAATGCTTATTACAATCTCTGTAAATGAACAAAGATGTCATCTATTTAAAAATAATGTTTGGTGGACATGAACCTTTTAATGGAGGGGCAGAAGAACTTGAACCTTCCAGTGAAGAATTTGCCAATTTATCACTTTTTCTAGTTTACCTCTTGGTATTTATAAGGAAGTAAATATAATCTTTACTGAAGAATGAATCTAGCTTCTTAAACTTTAGCATGGAGAGACTTTGCCTTCTGGGATGGAAAGAAAGCGTGGACTTAGTTTTCCTAAATAGTTGGCATTGGTCATATTTATAATGTGTGTTGGGTTAGTATTGTTTATAGGAAAATGAGGAAGATTTAACAATCCATTGAAATGTTATTCCAGTTAATGTTACTTTCATAAATTCTTTTCTCTATTGTCTCTTATGGCTCATTTGTGGGTGCTGTTGTTAATTTGTTCTTACCTTGTATGACTAGCACTGGCATCCGTTAGAATGAACTAAGGGGAGTGTTTTCAGTAGTAAAAAGACTCCTGAGACAAACCTCAGCTCTGACTTCTATTCCAGGATATGCATTTGGTTTATTGACATCCTCGCTTCCATTGCTATGTCCTAATACTCATGCTATTAGTTATTTTTTAAATATTTGAGCACTGTTTATGAAGGTTCTCCTTTTGATATCCTTTTTGTGAGCTTAATGCTAAAATAACTTTTTTAAGAAGCATTTAATAATTTATTTTGAAAGCTGTTTGAAAAGTATGCTAGAGTGTAAATGGGAAATTATATAAATTTGTCAGCCACTGTGTTGTATCAAAATGACTAGTAAATAATGAAGACTGTATGAATTTTAATACCCCATCATGGGGGTTTACTAGAAAAACATAATTATTTTCTCCTTGTACTCCTTCCCAGCAGTTAGGCTGATTTAACTGACTTTCATCCTTTCTGTTTCTAACATTACTAGCTTCCTTTCCCATCTGCCCCTTGACAGAAGGACACTTCTCTCTTTACTAACAGTCTAGTGACATTTCTCTGTTGTGGAAATATCCCTTTGTCATATCAGAGGAAGTATACAAGTTGAATTAAACAGGTCTTGTTTTGTTTTTTTAATTTGTCTAGATTATTCCTCTGTAGGGGATTATTATGAGGTTTTCTGGAAAAGATAGGAGGTTTTCAATTCCAGCTATTTACAATTAGCTGTTGCCTTTTTTTTTTGGCTCCCTTTGCAAATCACATGAGAATCGTACAAAACTAAACTTGAGTTGCATTAATTTTTAGATGTTCCCATTCAAACATGTTCTACAAGCCTTTGCAGGGTATCTTCCATGACAGAAATAAAAAATAATGAGGACAGACCACAGGGAGCTGCATAATATATTTAAAGGCATGTATGTGGCCATCTACTGATGGTTGTACTATGAAATCCTATACTGTGATCTGGGTACATTAAGACAATACTTTCCATGTCAAGTATCTAAACTGTGTTCTTGAAATTTAGTGTTCTTCAGTTTGTCATTCTAAATCTTGATGAAAATATCAGTATATATCATATCACAACTTTACTATTGTGTACCCACTTTACAGCTCTGAAAATATAAAGTTCTGACCAAATTATTAAATCAGCCAAAAAGAAATGCAGTGTTCTTATTAGTGTTCAAAGGTGCTCAGGTATTAATTTTCAAACTTTTATAATGCATTAAGAGACTAAAACTATTAAGACCATTTTTTTTCAGTGTGGCGACTACATATTTATGCATTGCCTATATCAATATTTCTCATCCTGCACTTCTGCCATTCATCAGAAATCCAAACCACTATCTTACTTAGCTAAAACATTATGCAGACAATCAAAACGCATCTTGCAATGGAACACTGGCTGCCACCAGTATCCCCTAGTTAGGGTAGCAGATGTCTGTATCGATTTAGTCTAGATAATTTATTGTTTTATATTGATTTTACTAATTTATCTGTTTCCTGTCTAAGAAGATACTGGTTGAAGTAACTCACCAGGATATAGCTCTGCTTTTCACGCAATCTCAGTGAGTGATGGGATTATAATGAGGTTTTTCTATATAGTGGGGATTTTTTTAGTCCCTCTCACTGTGAGTTTAATGGGCACATTCAGACTCATTATGAAAAACAATCTACCATCTGAATGTCAGTAAACTCATGAGCATTTTTGCCAGACTTCTGTGAATGTATAAACCAGTTGCTACAACTAATGTCATGGCTGCTACAGTAGTGATTTTCTGCGGTGAAGGAGTGAGCTGGCAGAAATGATGTACAGCAGGTAGTTTAGTGACCTCTAAAAGACTACAGCGGTACAGAAAACGCCCATTCATTTCAACTAGCTAATGACTTCCTTTCCATCATTATTTTCTGTAGAATTATATCTGTGGGAGGTCAGTATATATGACTGTGCTTTGCTGTTCATCAGGCAACTGCCTGTTCTTATAGTATTTAGTGTGTTTTAGTTGTGACAAGTACATCTATGTCCATAGCATTTATTTGGTATAGCCAGGGGAAGAAGAACGCAAGGCAGAGAGAACATACTTGTCTGTTATGGCTGAGGCTGAATTGCAAATTCAGTTCCAGTTAGTGCTTACTCTGAACCTTGCCTAGCTAAGTCTGTTCCTTGACTCTGTGTGCTTCCTCTTATTTATAACACTGTCAGGGGGCACACATGCTTTTTGCTTATTGGCAACTGACTGTTACACGATGGGAAATCCCACATGGCTCTTCCTTCCAAAATAATACACGGCAATCTTAAAAGTAGGATTTTTAAAAATGAAAATTTTGCTAAAGTTTCACAATCGTGCTCTGTCTATAGAGCACTGATCAGAAAGCCTTTTCTCATGCCATTTTAAAAGATTTCTTGAAAAATGCTCACTTTTAAAAAAAGGCTTTGTTTTTGGTCAGTGTTTGTCAGGTTCAACTCCAGCCATGGTTTCCCAGTGGAGGTTGATGCGGATACCAGCATCTTCCAGCTCAAGGAGGTGGTTGCTAAGCGACAGGGAGTTCCAGCTGACCAGCTGCGTGTGATTTTTGCAGGGAAGGAGCTTAGGAATGACTTGACACTGCAGGTAAGTCTCCCTTGGTAGTTTCTTTTCTGGGATGCTGCCAGCTCAACTGCTTCTGCCTCTAATGCTGCCAATCTGACATTCATGCCTGAGATCTAATAGAATAAATAGTGTCTGGGGATTCCTTGAACTTTACTCCACACTGCTTCATTAATTCTGACCTTCTTAATTATGCATTAAAACAGCAAGCAGGAAGGAGAGGGAGGGAAAAAAGACTGTGTGTCAGAGAGAGAACATATGAGAGAATTGTGCTTAGTGAATAAATGTTTACTGACTACAGGAGCAAGCTATGCCCAATTTCTGTATCTGTTCAATTTCTGTCTTACTTATTCCATTTGAATCTTAATGAGGAAGGATGTGAATAAATTGTTCTAAATCAAGCTGCACAGTCATCATATTGTATAGAATTTGTAACCCAATTGTGACCCCTGGAGGATAGTTGTAAGGCTGCTGCTGCTGGTGTGTGCATGTGTGTGTACATGTATACGTATGCTAATGAAGTTGTATTTGAAGGCTTGTTCTGCATCCCCTGGAGGATAGCTGAAAGGCTGCAGCTGTGTGTGTGTGCATATGTGTGCATGTGCATGCATGTGCACAGACTCATGTGCTAATTGAGTTGTGCTTGAAGACCTGTTCCTAGTCTCCAGTGTTGTTTTCTCAAAAGCACTGAACCCGTAAGCCTATAGTTAAAAAAACTGGCAGGGGCAAAAAGAAACTGGTAAGTGAGGGAGTCCATATTTGAATTTCATTTCCTTTAAGATGAATGAGTTGGGCTAAAATAAAATACAAATTAACTGAGGAGGAGCAAAAGGAGCTTGACTGCTACTGTCAGTATTGCCATCATGATTTTATCTGTATTCGTTCCTCTTGTGAGTGATATATGAGGAGGTAGCAAAATATGTAGGCCTAAGCATAAGATCACAGGTTCAAGTCATTCAAGGAACCTAATAAAATACATTTACCTGCCTTCCATTAAAGTTTGGGACTGTTGAGTTGCTAGAAAAGCTATCTTTTTGCCATGACATCCAAGAAGTACTACTGTAGCATGCAGCGGTTCAGGTGACTATATAAAAGGTCCTTCACAGGCAGAACTCCTTCCTGTTTTAACCAAAATAGATTAATTGGCACTCATGTTTACAGCTGTGTGAGAGGTATTGAGTGGGCACAGAATGGCTGCTATGTCTGGTTGCAGAGAGTCACTATTGTATTGACATCCTATCACTATTTCTTTGCCGGTATGATATTTATTGCTTTGTAAAATGCTTTAGGGAGTTTGGCCACACAAAAGAAACTAAAGAAATGCAAATTGCTGTTGTCATTCTCCAGTGCATCTCCTGCTGATAGTGTTGATGTACATATTTATGATGCATAAATGGCTATGCTTTGCTTTTAGGTGCTTTACTTTTTACTAAAGAAAATATAAGTGCAAAAAAAAGAGAAAAAGGTGTACCAACAAGCTCTTAGATGTTAGTTTTTAGGTTTGGGGTTCTATGTTACCCTTTCTAAGGTTTTTAAACTTTTTGTGTTCCCGGATGGGCTCCATATGTTGTCCATTTTTTTCAGGATGAAACACAGAATCTGATGTATACGTCTAACTAGACAGATTATCTGTAGCCCAGCTCATTACAGAGTAACATGCAACCTGTAACTTAGGTATGTAAATAAAGGATGAATTGCTTCTCACCTATTCAGATCTGTCTGGTTCATTTAGATGGAGTTTCCTTTGCATGTTTAAGGCAAAATTGTGTGCTAGGCCTTTTTAAAGTCTTTTAGATAAATATCCATTTTAAGAGATTGTACAGAATCACATGGCTCTAAGAGGAAGTACTGGGAGTGCCTTGGAAAGGGGTAAGATGCACAATATATAGGCTACAGATCCACTACCACACCCCAGCAGTTTGCTTTCAGGTGGCCAGTCCATAGGTTGTGGGAGAGTTGTGGCCTTGTTTGTCTTGACCCTGCCGCACTGCATTATGGGTGAGCCCTGGAGACTGAGAGGTCACCTTTTGCACTTCCATGGGGACAAATAGTGGCTGGCATTTTGGCTGACCCTTACATAGGACAGGCAAGGGCAAGAGCAGGAGCATTGTGACCTATCATTTTTCCCTGTACAGAGTGGTTTAGGAATGTTGGTGTCATTGTCAAAAGTTGGTGTGTTCTTTGAACTGGATCAGGACCCTTTGTTTTTTCGCATTGGACAGGAAGTTCAGCAACTGTTTTAGGTATATACCAAACCTTTGCTTTTTAGTGCATACAATAATACAATCACTGCAGTATCAACTGGATTTTTAATTTAATTTAATTGATTTTACCATGCCCCTACACTATCAATTTATTTTGCATCATTGATTAATAGATGTCAACACTGTCAGGCAGAGGTTGGTACTTTGGCTGCTGGGTAAGGAACAATTAAAGCTTTTCTTCTTTGAGATTTTGTAAGAGGCAGTACCCAGGACACTTGAGATAACCAGCAGGATGTGCATGCTAGTGCCAGACTAACTGTTAATGTATATGCTGTCATTTGTCAGTTCCAGAGTTAACATCCCTTTGAAGGGAGTGGATCAGCTTATGCTTCGCAGAAGTATTCATAGAATCATAGAAGTAGGGTCGGAAGGGACCTT